TCATCTTGTCTATGTTAGTGTGGTTGGAATCAATCACATCCCATACTTCTTTTGCTGCACCTCAAGCTTTCTTCACATGGGTGTTCAAAGGTGATCAGTTGTGGCTGCCTTTTGCTGCCAACCCATGTGGGTTGCCTTTTGGTTGCTGAAAAAATGAGTTTTCTGAACCAGGCATGGTGTAGGAAGGCCAGAGGTTTCAAAACATATCCAATGGGGCTCAAATTTGGATATGTTATACTAGACACCCATTGGAACAACGTCTATGAAGAAAGTATTCCTATCGGAGCAGTAGAAGTGTGCGTTTTGGGCCTTGCAAGTTCGCTGCTGAACAGAGACTGGAATTGACTTCATTTTATTTCTTTTATTTCTTTTGCTTCACATGCATGCACATGCTTTCTCTTTAATAGCTCCATCATGTACCAACTTGCTCCTTTAGAATTTCATAGCTGGAATGCCTCCCTACTTCACTCATTATGTTGGGTACAAAGTCAGTTATAGCTAGGGTGAGGCACATGGCTAAAAGCTGGCAGCTGCAAATCCTGCTGAGTAAGGTTGAGTGTTGGACGGGCTAAGCACTCCACATAGGTCCAATTGGGCTGAAATTTGAATATGTTGTACTAGATACCCATTGGAACAAGTTTCATGAAGATCATCATCTCATTCGAGCCCCATAGCATGCTCATCCAAGGCCAAGAAGTTGACCTACGGAACTGGGCTGGCAAGGAGTTGTAGTCAAAATGAGTTTGTCTTTAAGCTCTTCTTCCATTCACCCAAATAAGGCCTTAACATGCATGAATTGCATCATTTCCTATCCAAAGTCATCATTGTTACCTAAAGCTCAATGAACTGAAACATAAACACAAAAATGATTAAAAGCACAAGTTTAACTCAAAAACATAACCAAAATCATAAGCTAGAAGGGTACAAAATAATATATAAATATGCACCAAAAGCACAAGTTTAACTCAAAAACATAACCAAATCATAAGCTAGAAGGGTACAAAATAATATATAAATATGCACCGATCAGCATACGCAGGGGTTACGTTCATTGAGTAAAATTGCATATTCCCCGAAAAAATGGGCCTAGCAAACTTATTTTTTTAAACAAACGGGCTATTTGTTTACCTGAACGCAAAGCAAGGGGTTGCGTTCCTTGAGTAAAGTTGCCCATTCCCATAAAAATGAGCCCAACTAATTTATTTTTTCAAATAAATGGGCTATTTGTTCACGCAAAAACCAGAGGTTGCGTTCATTGAGTAAAATTGCTTGTTCCCCGGAAAAATAGACCAAACTAACTTACTTTTTCAAACAAACGGGCTATTTGTTCACGTGAACGCAGGGGTTGCGTTCGTTGAGTAAAGTTGCTCGTTCCTCGGAAAAATGGGCCCAACTAACTTACTTTTTCAAACAAATGGCTATTTGTTCATGCAAAAGCAATGGGAACATGTTCGTTGAGTAAAGTTACCCATTCCCCAGAAAAATAGACCCAACTAACTTACTTTTTTAAACAAACGAGCTATTTGTTCATGCGAACACAGAGGTTGCGTTTGTTGAGTAAAGTTGCTCGTTCCTCTGTAAAATAGGCCTAATTAACTTAATTTTTCAAACAAACGGGCTATTTATTTATGCGAACGCAATGGGTTGCATTCGTTGAGTAAAGTTGCCCGCTCCCAAGAAAAATGGGCCCAACTAATTTACTTTTTCAAATAAACAGGCTATTTATTTACGCGAACGTAGGGGTCGAGTTTGTTAAGTAAAATTGCTCGTTCATCGGAAAAATGGGTCCAACTAACTTACTTTTTCAAACAAACGGGTTATTTGTTCACGCGAACGTAGGTGTTGCGTTCGTTGAGGAAAGTTGCCTGTTCCCCGGAAAAATGGGCCCAACTAACTTACTTTTTCAAACAAACGGGCTATTTGTTCATGCGAACGCAATTGTCTGTGTTCGTTGAGGAAAGTTGCTTGTTCCCCTGAAAAATGTGCCCAACTAGCTTACCTTTTCAAACAAATGGGCTATTTGTTCACATGAACGCATGGGTTACTTTCGTTGTGTAAAGTTTCCCGTTCCCCGGAAAAATGGACCCAACAAACTTACTTTTTCAAACAAACGAGATATTTATTCACGTGAACTCAAGAGTTGCGTTCGTTGAGTAAAGTTGCTCGTTCCTCGAAAAAATGGGCCTAATTAACTTAATTTTTCAAATAAACGGACTATTTGTTCACGCGAACGCAATGGGTTGCATTCGTTGAGTAAAGTTGCCCGTTCCTCAGAAAAATGGGCCCAACTAATTTACTTTTTCAAATAAACGGGTTATTTGTTCACGCGAACGTAGTGGTGAAATTCATTGAGTAAAATTGCTCGTTCATCGGAAAAATGGGCCCAACTAACTTACTTTTTCAAACAAACGGGCTATTTGTTCACGCGAACGCAGGTGTTGCGTTCGTTGAGAAAAGTTGCCTGTTTCCAGGAAAAATGGGCCAAACTAACTTACTTTTTCAAACAAACGGGCTATTTGTTCAAGCGAATGTAAGAGGTGCGTTCGTTCAGTAAAGTTGCATGTTTACTCGAAAACTGGACCAAACTAACTTACTTTTTCAAACAAACGGGCTATTTTGTCACACTAACGCAGGGATTGCGTTCATTGTACAAAGTTACCCATTCCTTGAAAAAATGGACCTAACAAACATACTTTTTCAAACAAACGAGCTATTTGTTCAAGCGAATGCAAGGGGTGCGTTCATTGAGTAAAGTTGCTCGTTCCTGAAAAAATGGACCCAACCAACTTACTTTTTCAAACAAACGGGCTATTTGTTCAAGCGAGCGTAAGGGGTGCGTTCGTCAAGTAAAGTTACCCGTTTACCCGAAAAATGGACCAAACTAACTTACTTTTTCAAACAAACGAGATATTTTTTCACGCTAACGCAGGGGTTGCGTTCGTTATGTAAAGTTGCCTGTTCCACGGATAAATGGACCCAACAAACTTACTTTTTCAAACAAACGGGT